CACACACACACACACACACACACACACACACACACACACACTACAGCCTGTAGAGTCTGATTGGTGTCCCTAAATGTCCTTCAGTGTGGTTCCATCCACTGGACCCACCAAGAGTCCCAACTCTCTGAGACACTGTTTTTCTCAGTCCCAGCAGCCATCAATTGCCAAAAGTTTCTTAGGTTAAGTTTGGGATTCTTACACACTTTCCCATGACTATGCTGGGATTTTGTCTGGTTTGAGCTTGCATAATCATTGCTGTGAGTTCATGAGTAACTGACAAACTGTTTGGAAGACTTTCCTTGTGGTCATCCACTACCTCTGGCTCTTATAATCTTTCTTCTTCCTCTTCCACAATGATCCCTGAGCCTTGGGAGACAGAGATTTGAAATAGGCATCCTGTTCAGGGACAAGCACGCTATAGCCTCTAGTTTTCTGCACATTGGCCAGTTGTGGATTCCTGTGTTACTCAAGTCTGTTGCGTAAGGGAGCTTTTCTGGTGAGACTTGAGAGATGCTGTCATCCTATGTGTAGAGGTTGCATTGAAGATGTGTCGCTTAGGATTAAGCATCTCACAGACACTTATTCTCTGAATTGACCACTTCTGAAACTCCATAATAGTATCCATTTTTTTTTGCAAAAAGAAGCTTCTTTGATGAAAGATGAAAGGTACAGTTGGTAAACATAAGGATGCATATAAAGACAGAAATCATGTTGGTCTATAGATGTAGTAAAAGTAGGTTTTTCTTTGGGATCTGTGACCTCTTTAGCCATGTGTATTTGGCTATGTTTACAGTACCACACATATGTTCTCTCCCATTGAGCAGGCCTTAATTCCAATTAGACAGCTGTTGACTACCCCCAAGATAAAAGAGCCACTCCTACACTAATAGTGATAGTTTACTGGTCCAGTCATTGTTTATTAGGCTTTATAACTGGGTAAGACCATTGATTGGTTTTCTCCCTTAGCGGCTTGTATAGTATCCTCAGATACCATGAAAACTAGTCTTGAGGGAGAAGGATTCCAGGTCTGTTCCAATTCAGTTTCTCCAAGTCCTGTGTCTGAAGTATGGCCTGTCTTCAAAAATAGGGTCTTACCTTCAAGTTCTAGAAAGTAATCAAGGCTTATGGCAATAGCTTCTGTTATTTTGGGAGACTCGGACTACTCCGACCAAAAATTTGGAGGGAGGTCACTCTTGCCTGACACTGAATTTTTTGTTATCTAGCCTTCAGCTACACACATGCATTCATACCTATTTTATGTGTATTTTTTCAGTAAGACTTTGAACTAATACATTTCTCTCTAGTTTTTCATACCATCTAATGTCGGGACTCGAGTTTGCTTTGCTCAGCAGGGGACCTACTGGCTTCAGAGCAGAGAGACTTGATTAACAACAGAGTCTTGGATCCTGGGACCTGTGTCTTTCCAACAAGTCAATTTCTTTTAAAATTCAGATAGTTTTTATACATCCCAAGGAACTAGCAGTCACGTGGGATATGGCAGTCATATACAAGGATTTAGGGTACAAAGAAACAGGACATTTAGTCTGTTAGTTGGTGCCAGAAGGATTCTTAAACTTTTACTCAAGGTTATCAATTCCCATCCGGTAATTTATTGGCCACGCCACAATGCTTTCTTTCTTAGAGCTAAAAGCATGGTAAACTTTTAGCTTTTAGCTCAGGAGTAATCTTTTAAGCTGGCCTAATGTCTTAGCTAAGGATAGCTGAGTTATTTGTTCAGGACAAGGAGATGAGCTAAGGGTTGTTGACCAAGACACTTTCCCACAGAGCAGGGAGCCTGCACTTATGACCAGGCTGCTGTCTCCTGCCAGTTTGGCAGTGTTCTGCAAGACAGAGATTATCAGAGCCACTGTTTTCAGCACTCCTCCCTTTAGCAGAGAATGCAGCCTGGACTTAAAAGTTTTAGGCTTGGCCGGGCATGGTGGCACATGCCTTTAATCCCAGCACTCAGGAGGCAGAGGCAGGTGGATCTTTGTGAGTTCAAGGCCAACCTTGTCTACATAGTGAGTTCTAGGACAACTGGGGCTACGGGGAGACCCTGTCTCAAAAAGACCAAAAAAAAATGTTTTAGGCTCATCTCACCCTAGGGCCTGGCATCCTGGTTTCCTACAGTCTAAGCATTATTTATTTCTCCTCTCACTCCCCCTGTATAACCCTCTATTTTCCCTCCCCAGTTAAAGTACCCCCCTTTTCCCCATTTCCTTCTTAATAACACCTGTCTCCTACTGTCCCCCTCTCTCGAGTTCCTTCTTTTTCTCCATGGTTTACATCCCCCTGCAGTTAAATCAGGATATATATTCACATCTAGGAACTGGGGACTAAGATCCACAAATTAGAGAGAAAATACATTGTTTTTCTGAGTCTGTGTTACTTCACTTAGTATAACAGTTTGTAGTTCCATTCATTTAAATGCAAATTTCATGGTTTTCTTTTTCTTCACCACTGAGTAGGTAACTCTGTTTTGTAAATATGCCACATTTTCATTACCCATCCATCAGCTGGCGGACATTTAAGTTGTTATCATTTCTTAGCTATTGTGAAAAGAGCAGCAACAAACATGGCTGTTCAAGTATCTCTGTATTAGAATGAGTCTGTTGAGTATGTGCCATGGAGTGGTATGATCATATAGTATGGTAGATATATTTTAGTTTTCAAAGCATTCTCCATACTGATTCCTACAGTTGTTGCACCAGTTTGCAATCCCACCAACAGTGAGTGAGGGTTCCGCTTTTCCTGCATTCTCGCGAGAATTTGGTTTCATTTGTTCTCTTTATCTTAGCCCTTTTAAAAGTGGTTTTGATTTGCATTCCCCTTATTACTAAGGTTGTTGAACAATTTTTTTAACTTTTAAAAAAATTATTGAGAATTTCATATATGCATATAAGGTGTTTTGAGCAAATCCACACCTACTCCCTCCCTTCCAACTCCTCCCATAGCTCCCCATCACTTTCCTGAACAACTTCTTGTACTTTCTTTTTTTTTAAAAAAAAAAAAAAACAATGGGGCTTTTTGCTACTCTAAAATTCCCCAGAGGTAACCCTAAAATCTTTTAGGAATTAGCTAAGAGCTCCCAAATACTTTTGACATTTTTGGCTTTTGGAACAGAGTATGTTGCTAAGAGGCCCAAGGACATTTTGAATTTTCTGGTTATTTTTCTCTGGGGTCTTTTTACCCTAACTGCCTAGCCAATTCCTACCTCCTATTCTTATCACACCATTCTCTGAAGAGGTTACCCAACTTGCCGATAGGGAATCGGGATGCAGACTGCTGTGGCTTCTCCCATGCTGAACAGGGTTGCAGGGTGAGGCAATTGGGGTACCTCCTCAGTGTTTCTATCTAAAAGACTCCCAAATTGTATAACTCTTATCACCACGTGGAGGCAGGATCCAGGCACTCTTAGGTGGTCCCCTGAGTTCTCAGCCCTGGCTAGTCAGGCACACTCTGGCAGCTTCAATAGAAAGGGGCCAAGGCCCAAGGAGAGCCGATGGGAACAAAAATCAAAATAAATAAAATTTAAAAGTTCCTTTCTGCTCTTTCGTGATTTTTCTGCCCTCTCTCTAACCATTTCTGCTGTACCAACTTCAATCTTATCTAGGCTAATCTTTTATTTTTCTTTCTTACAGTTCATTTTAATATAGTATTTTATTGATTTTTTGAGAATTTCATACAATGTATCTTGATCATATTCAGATCCCCTCCCCATCTCCACCCCACCTTACTACCTTCCCCTGACTTTATATCCTTTACTGTTACTGTTTTAAGGCCTTTTTAGTCTAATTTGTGTCCCAAAATGTGCTTGGATGTGGGTCCATCACCTGGAGCCCATGCAACCTACCCAGCATCACAACCTTATAAAAACCTGGCTCTCCTCCCAGCTGCTATCAATTGCCAATCATTTCTCAGCTAGGCTTTGGGCTTCTTGCCCAGCTCCCATACTCTATGCTTGGATTTTGTCTTAACTGATCAACCTGCAAAGAATAAGAGACTGCAGCATGCTCAGCCCTAAATGGGACACCTATGGCATACCGTCTCCTCCCAAGGCTCAGGGATCATTGCTTAGGAAAGGAAAAAGTGTAAGAGCCAGAGGTGGTGGGCAACTACAAAGAAACAGTGTTTTCCAGACAGCAGAGCTATTGCATATATGAGCTGATTGTAATTGTGACTGCATATGTGAGACCCGCGTAAGCTCTAGGGGAAATTTGATCTACATATACAGTAAAACATTTCCAAACTAGGATGCTATAGAAAATCAAGGGAAAATTATAAATGTGTATATTATAACGTGAGTTTAAAATGGTCTGGGTGAAATAGTTTCTTTTTCAGTAGTGGTATGAAAGAAAATAACTGCCCTTTTCTTCATGTCCATAGTCCATCTAGCTAATCTCTCTATTTTTCTTATTTAGGTGCACAGTGATTTTATTCAATTCTAATTATGCTAGTATCAAACTAGGATTTAGGGGAAGAGAGGTAGCAACTTTCTTAGGTTTTTATTGAGGTTGCAGCTTCTATTAGGGGTTCAAAGAGCTTTGGAACTGTGGATTTTGGGGTGAGTACTGGCTCCTTCAATCTCTACCCCCTCTCTCCTTGCTACCTATTTCTATTCTACCTCCTCTGTCCCTCTCTCTCTATCTCAGTATTTCCCTGCTCATGCCCTCTGCCTTGTACTTAATCTTAGAGATACTGGCTACACTTTACTTTCAAGGTTGGGTGTGAATAGAAGACAAAATGAGGGAAAGAGGGAACCAGGTACTTTTTAGCACACTTTAGAATCAGGAGTACTTCTTTGGCGATCAGAACAGAAGGCCTGTACTAAGTCCTATGGAGGAAATATATCTTCCCTTGCAGGACTGAGAAATACTAAAAGGCTTTAAAAAAGTGTACAAGTGTATGTGTGTGGGTCTGTGCACATGCCAATGCAGGTGCCTGCAGAGTCCAGAAAAGGGTGTAGGTCCCCTGGAGCTCTAGTTGAAGGCAGTTGTGAGCCACCTAATGTGAGTGCTGGGAACCAAACTTGGGTCTTCTGAGAGCAGTATGTTCTCTTAACTCCTGAGCCATCTCTTTAACCCCTGAAAGACTTTAAAGGGAGGTGTGGAAATGGGATTAGAGAAGAAAGGAAGGGGTGATATGGTGAACCTGATCAAATCTCAAGGGGAGGGAGAATGGAGGAGGAAGAAGGGGAAGAATAGGGAGAGAGGCAAAAAAGAGAAAAGAATAAAGAAAGACTGGAGTAGACAGTGAGCTCCAGGTCAGTAGAGAATGTCATGAGTCTTCCTGTCTCTTCATGGTCTCCCCCAAACCAAGGTTCAACCTCTTAAGACCAGGGGATAGAAAAATACTCCTAGAACAATGGCTTTTCTGGCCTTCAGCCCCTCCCTGTCCTGCCCCACACACATTTTTCTATCTCTAGATCATTTTGCTTGGCTTCCTTCTCTTTCTCTTCCATAGCTGGATATATATATATGTGTGTGTATATATATATATATGTGTGTGTGTATATATATATATATATGTATGTATCTGATCCTCATTCATCCTGAGGGAGATCTACGTGCTCTCAGATGTTGTTTATGCTCTTTATATACTGCTTCTGGAATTGTAAGAGACTGCCTCATTAAGCCCTGTCCTCTGCCTGGGGTTGGTACAGTTGGAATCAGGCCTTTCCTCTCATTTCTCTTTTTTTCCTGCACCATTAAGATTAACTCAAACCTGGCTCTCAGAGTTACCCTGAATGTCTGTGGTTTGGGTAGTGGTTGACTTCTATTTTTCATGTCTCTCCTCATCTTTCTTTATCTTTTCCTCAAGAGAAGAGAAAGGGATGTGTACCTGATTGTGATTGCTTCTCCTTTTCATCCATAGGAACCGTGCCCACCTTCTCTGTTTGATTTCCTGTACATCTGTGAAAATCTTTATGAGCACCATGAGATGATTGCCATGGAAATCGACATCCTGAAAACCCTCAACTTTGACATCAACATTCCCACTGCCTACCATTTTCTGCGTAGATTTGCTTTGGTAACGGGGAGGAGGCACAGCTTTGTTATTTTGACTTATCGATTAATCTTTTCTGTTCTCAGAGTAACTGACAACCTCCTTGGTGAAAAGTTGTTTATTAAATAGTGGGGGTGGGCTGAGTTGTGGATGTATATGGTATGCCTATGTTTAGAGATGAAGGCAAAATAGGAGATGAGTTAAAATATTCTTTGATCAGGAAAGGAGGAACAATATTTGGGAAATTTAGAAAATATTCTTACCTACCTTATTCATTGTATCCTAGAAATGTGCTAAATACTTTTCTCTGTGTATCTGTGTTTGTTTTTTTTTCAAACAAAAAAGAGAAAGGGATGTTTTGGAGTACAGAGCATCTCTTATAGTAGAATGAGGTACAAAGTCACGCTTGGGAGACTTTGACTCTTCAAATGATGATTCCTATAGAAAGAGGAAGTAGGAAGGTACATACTTGGTAATTTAAGAACCCTAAAGATGGCAAATCCTCATGTCGGTATCATAATCTACTAAAGGGTCTGTGCTTTTGTAGGTGGGGTTCTTAAATTTAGAAAATATTCTTACCTACCTTATTCATTGTATCCTAGAAATGTGCTAAATACTTTTCTCTGTGTATCTGTGTTTGTTTTTTTTTTCAAACAAAAAAGAGAAAGGGATGTTTTGGAGTACAGAGCATCTCTTATAGTAGAATGAGGTACAAAGTCACGCTTGGGAGACTTTGACTCTTCAAATGATGATTCCTATAGAAAGAGGAAGTAGGAAGGTACATACTTGGTAATTTAAGAACCCTAAAGATGGCAAATCCTCATGTCGGTATCATAATCTACTAAAGGGTCTGTGCTTTTGTAGGTGGGGCTCTTAAAGTGAGTCATAGTGGCAGGAGAAGTGCATTGCTACAAACAGAAAGCCATATGGGCTGGGGATGAGAAAATATGAGAGGGGTTCTACTGCCTGCTACTGTTTTGCCAAATTGATTGTTGAACCAAGCCTTCTTATGTCTTTTAGAGTACCCATACTAGCATGAGGACACTAACCTTGTCCCGCTTCATCTGTGAGATGACCCTACTGGAATATGACTACACCCAAGAGAAGCCTTCCAAGCTAGCTGCTGCTTCCTTCCTCTTGGCCCTCTACATGAGGAATATAAAACACGAGGTAAAGGGATGGAGAGATGGCTCAGTGGCTAAGAGCATGAGGTTCTGAGTTCAAGTCCCAAGCACTCACATAAAAAGTTGGGCATAGCTACGCATAACTGCAACCCCAGTACTATTCGGGGTGGAGACAAGAGGAACACTGGGGCCTGCTAAATGCCACTCTAACTTCTGGTTAAGTGAGAGACTCTGCCTCAAAAGAGTAAGATGGAGAGTCATAGAGCAGGACATATGACATCCTTCTGGTTTCTGCATGTACACACACAGGTGAATTCACACACACACACACACACAAATTGTGTGGCATGCTCTTGGTGACAAAAAACTCTACAAGCCTACAGTTATGATTTCCTTAATACCTGGATAGCTTATGGGCAATGCTTTCTACAGCAATGGCTTTGAAATATTTAGTTTTCTTAGTCATAGTACTATAATACTCTTTGTTCTAAAGAATGTCTCTCAGAAAAGCGAATATTGCAAAACGGACTAAAGTGTTTAAGTTATTCTACTTAACATAAGGTCTGTAGTGGGCCCATTTCTTATCCTTTACTTCATTCTGTTCTTGTCCCTTGTAGTCCCTTTAGCAAAGTTGATCTTAAAGGATCTTCTTGGAATAGGACTTGAAAAGCGTTGACCCAAAGAATAGAATAATGAAGGCAACTGTCCATGTGTACAGCAAGGCATTCAGAGTCATGCCTATAGTGCTTTCCTGTGAAGTAGAGGGCCTCCAAACACTTGTAGCTATGTACAAGTAAACTTCATATTTGAAACTTTATCAACTTCATGAAATATTAGAGATATAAACAACTTTAGCGAACTTGATTTTTTTTCAACATGAGGCACTTTATTTTAATAAATTCCAGAATTTAGTCAGGCATGGTAATAGAAGTCTTTAATCCCAGCACTTGGGAGGCAGAGACTGGTAGATCTCTGTGAATTCAAGGCTAGCCTGTTCTATGTAGTGAGTTTGTGGCCAGCTGGGGCTACAGGGAGACCCTGTCTCAAGCACAGCCCCCCCTAAATAAATAAATTTCAGAATTTCTTTTTTAATTTTTTTAAAGAATTTCATGCATGAGTATTTGCATTATTTGTACCCCTCTCAGTCCACTTCCAACTCCTCCTATGTATTTCTCTCTCCCTCACAATTACTTGTCTTCATCTTGGGCAGCCATAAACACATATACACATGAGTGTAATATATGTGTGTGTATGTACATAATACTATGTACTATGTATATGTACTATATATGTATAGTATAAGTACTATATATATATGCATATATAACAACAATGATCAAAGAACTGAATTCTTATAGATATGCAACATATAATCCAAGTAGAAAAAATATGATCTTAAACAATATCCTTGTCAAACCATTTATAAGCCCCTCCTATCTAGAAATCCTGAGCTATATAGTATATAGTAAAAACCTCTGATTGCTAAGGAAAAACCACATAAACAGTTATGTGAACCTGCATCAATTATACTTAAATTGTGGAGAACAAAGACAGCATTCTATTAATAGCAATGATTTTGATAAAAATAATAATGGTTAACATTTATTGAGTGCTTAAAGCTAAGCACTCTGCATATTAAACATTTAATCTTCACATCAACTATACAAGCTTGATATTACTATTCTTGCTTAACAAAGAAGTAACTTCCCATGTGTATACAATGAATGAGAAGTAGAGCTAGGCATGGTTTTCAAAAATCTAAATCTGGGCCTGAAGAGATGGCTTAGTGATTCCAAACACTTGCTGCTCATACAGAGGACCTTGGTTTGATTTCTGTAACTCTAGTTCAATGGGATCCAATGCCCTCTTCTGTCCTCTGCAGGCTTTGCATAATATGGGTGCACTTAGGTACATGCAGGCAAAACACTCATGCACATAAAATTAAAAATGAAATTATTTAAAAATGTGTAAAAAGTCTAAACCTGTATAATCAGAATAGATATGATTATAGCTCTGGAGCTATGGTCCTAGAATTGAGCTTTGACCTTTGAATCGTAAAATTTCATTGGGTTCTGAAAATGAGCAGGTCAGGGCATAAAACGTTGTCCAACCAGGATAGAAATACATAAATGTTTTAATACTTGGTGGCTAAACCAGTGAGAGCTGAATATCAACCATAATCTGAACTTGGGTGGTCTAGTCCTATAATTCTCTGTGTTATGTACACTGCTTTTCATATATAAGGCTTCACAGATGAGGTGAATTTAAAAATTATGTTTTAAATTTATTCTTTGATAATTTTATAATGCATATAATATATTTTGATCATATTCACTTTTCTGTTATCCTCACTTACCCTCCCCCACTCCCTCTAAATCCCTTCTCCTTCCTAAACAGTGCCCGTCCTACTTTCACTAATTTTTTTTTACTGATCCACTAAGTTTAATAAGGGTTGCTTGCTTAAGTATGAATGTGGGTTGTTTACCGGACTATGGGGAACATACCAGTGACTACAACAAAATGACTCCTACTACTCCAGCAGCCGTTACCTACTAACAATTCCTTGGCTAGAGGTGGGACCTCATGAGCCCTACCCCCCATGTATGATGAAATGTTGAAGGTATTAATCTTGTTCAGGTTTTATGGAGGTAATCGCAGCTGGTATGTATTCATGAATACAACAGCCATGTCATATCCAAAAGACAGTGTTTTACAGGCTCTTACATTCTTTCTGCCCCATTTCTCAATGTTCACTGAGCCTTGGAAGGGGTGATATAGATATTCCATTTAGGATTTAGCACTCAATAGTCACTTACTCTTAGCATTCTGACCAATTATAAGTCACTGCATTAACTGCTGCCCACTAAAGAAAGAAGCTTCTCTGACCAAGGTTGAGAGCAACACTAATCTGTAGGTATAAATATTTAGAATACAGTTTGGTAACATGTCCATTTAGCAAAACAACAGTAGCAGGTTTCCCCTAGGGCTTATGACCTCCTCAGTCATGGGCTTCCGACAAGGTTTACAGTACCAGGAAGTGCTATAGAGGCCACTAGGGGAGAAAAGTTCCTCCTGTCGAGCAGGCCTCAAATCTAATGAGAAAGAAGTTTTGTTATCCTTATATAACAGTCATGCCATTAATGCACCAGTAGGTACCTTTTACTTGATAGGCCAGTATTATAGCATACAGAGTCTTTTACTGAGTAAGACTGTTGATGACTTTTCTCCCCCATTGACCTTTATAGCTCTTTTTGGCGCTATGATAGCTAGCCAGCAGGGAGGAAGATTCTAGTTCAGTTCCAACTCAGTTTCTCTATGTTTGACAACCAAAGTCTGTTATGTCTTTAACAATAGGATCTTACCCTCTAATTCTGGTGGGCAACCAAAAGCAATGGCAGTAGCCTGTATTGTTTTAAGGGCCACTGTGGAGTCCATAACCAGTAACACATAAGGAGGTATCCCACATCTGGTGCTGGCATTTTTTGATAACCTATGGCATTATTCACCCATGCAGGATATTTCTGTTCAAACTCTTTCCAAAACTGCATTTTTAAATTAGGTTACAAAGTAGTGGGTTTCCATCTTTTTTACTTACAGCCCTAATTTTGGTTAACTCTAGCCCCCACCCTTTTCTCTCTCCATGCCCCACCATCTGTCTATTTTCATATCACATGTATTTCACTATTTCTCCCTCCCTAAAGAGGTGGTTTTAAGCTGGGTCTTGAAAGATGACTAGGAACTTGAGAGAGGAGACATTTGAGGTATAGGAAGTAGTAGTAACTGAAAAGATACAAAGGTACTAAGGAAGGAGTATGCTGTGTTTGGAGAAGAATTCTAAAATGAGTCCTGTTCCTTAGAGCTTTAGTGGGTTTTAGCTTACATGAACCCCTGTAACCAATGATAATACTCTAATATTGTCATCACAGAAGTTTGTGATGACAAAAACTTACTCTTCTAAGTACCATACAATACATACCATACAATTATTTGTCAGTGTCTACACTTACGAGTCTTTGAAATGTTTTGAACATCTTCCCTACCTAAACCAAAAATGGGAAGTTTGGACTTGAGTATCACAGTTGGTAGCAGAGCAGGATGTACTTTCTGTAAAGAAATTATGGTTCATGCTTCTTTTTCCAGGTTCCTTTCCTGGAATATTTCAGTGGCTACCAGTCTACTGAGCTTCACCCTCTCGTCAGGAAGCTAAACACGATGTTGACGTTTCAATACTATAAACACTTCAACACTGTGTATGAGAAATATTCTGAAGAGTAAGTACTAAGCCTCAGCTAACGTTGAATTTGTGATCATTCATGGTACATCTTTAAAACAGTTGGCCTAGACAAATCTCATTTAAGGGAATAAGAGTCACTCTACACCTTCCTTTCTACTCTAGGATTAAGGCAAGATAAGTAACCAAGGCCCTCCCTATATTCTACTTCTTCTATGAAGCTTGTTTGGCTTTGAATTATGTTACATTGAGCAGATCACTCTTCGTTTTGCAGGGCTTTCTTTGGAGTTAACAAAATCCCCCCTTTGAATAAGGAAGAGCTGAGGGAGATTTTGGATATGTGACTTACTCACCTGAGGACCTCTGATAGCAGCCATCGGGGCCAGGCATACATGGAAATAGGCTGTATTTATTCTGTGTTTGAAATTTTCTTTCAGTTGCTTTTCTTCATTTACCCAAGTTTGTATTTTCTTAAACTGATAGTGTGACTATTGAAGTATTTTACATTGCTTTTATAAAAGAGAAGTTATTGTTATATTTTTCTAGAAATTTAATAAAAAATTAATGGTAGTCATTAAAATGACTCATGTCCTCTTTTACTGCACAGGAGCCACGTGCATAACCCAAGAAGTTTGTTTTCCTACCTACTAAAGGCTGTGTTTCAAGATCTCACTTACTCAATTTACTTCTCTCTTTGGAGGTTTTCTCCTCATGGGAAGTTGAATTGAGTAGAGTGTGAGCTAATAGGCAAGTCTATAGAAGGATGATCCTGGGGAGTGGTAACCAGTTTAGAGAGAAAGCCTATGGCACACCTCTCTTCTCAGGTCTCAGAGCTCAGAACAGGAGCAGCTGATGATAGTATAATTGCATGAATCTGACTCTCAGATTGCTTACTTTCTTTGCTTCTGCTTCAATGGGGAAAGGTGGTGAGAGAAGAATTTGAACCAAAATGTAGCCCTGCCTTTATAGCCATTTACACTCTAAATTTGAAAACAAAACCAACTTGGATGAGTACACAAAAATCTTTTTTAGCCATTATTTTCTACCAATAGAAAAAATTCTAACTATGAAATCAGCAAGATTTCCCACAGATGCAAGCATCAACCACTTGTCTAGTCTTTTATTCATAGAACTGCAGGAAGTGATTCACTTCTTCATATCTTTGAGGTGATGTGTACTGAAATGGTTATTCATGTATTAGCAAAGGAATTGAACATACTATGCCAAGAGCCATTGTTTCATTCCTAACCTTTAGTGCCTTCCCACAGTCCATCAAGTAATATCTGCTACAGCAAATGAACACTTGAACTATCTTTTCTTTGGTGGTGCTGAGAATTAAATTTAAGGTTTCACATAAGCCAGGCAAGCGTGCTACTATTGGGCTATTTATACAGCCCTCATTTTATATATCTTTTATTTGTACTTTGACAATTTCATACATATATGCAATGTGTCTCGATCCTACCCATCCCAATTCCCCTCTCCTATTCTCTCTAGATACCCACCTGACACGTTTCCTTTCCACCTTCATGTCCTGTCCTTTTTTCTAGCCCACTGAGTCCAATTAGTCCTGTCTACTGGAATGCTGATTTTGTTGACTTATTTTGTGCAGGTTGTGTGCAGATAACCACAGCTGTTGTGAGTTCTATAGTGCAGTGACCATGGTCATGATCAGAAAGCAGTATTTCACTTCACTCCTTCCCATTTCCCATCTCTTAAATTCTTTCAACTGCTGTCCACTGTAGAAAGAAACTTCTCTGGCCAAGGTTTAGAGCAACAGTAATCAAATATAAATATAAACAATAATCAAACATAAATATTTAGAAGGCAGTTTGATGACATTCATTTAGCAATCCAATAGTAATAAGTCTTCCCCTAGGGCCTATGGCCTCCTGAGCCATGAGATTTTGACTAAGTTTACAATAATAGGCATGAATTCCTTCCTGTGGAACAAGCCTCAAATTCAACCAGGAGGGGTTGGTTACCCCTGTAATAGTCATGCCATTATTGCACCAGTGGGGTTATTTTGCCTGGTAGGTAAATATTTTAGCACTCTGGGTTCACCACTGAATAATGTATCATTGATGACTGTTCTCCTGAAGCATCTCCAGCACTGTGAAAGTTAGCCAGCAAGGAGAAAGTTTTCAGGTCAGTTCCAGCTTGATTTCTCTATGTCCTAAAACCAAAGTCTGTTCTGTTTTCAGCAAGAGGGTCTTACCATCTAATTATGGTTGGCAACCAAGAGCAGTAGCAATAATCAATGTTGTTTTGACAGGTTCTGGGGTGTCCTTATCATGCCTGGTGCTATTTCATTTAGTAATTCATGTCTTCTGGGGGAAGCATGGTACACCCATGCAGGATACATGCGTTCAAACTCCTTTTTTGTCTTACAAAAATAGTGGGTTTTTATAAGGGTTTTTCATACATTCTTAGTTTTGTTAACTCACCCAATAGTCTCCCCTATCCTCCCACACTAATCTGTTTAAACTTTTAACCCCCAGTATTAACTCCTCTACTTTCATATCACATGTGTTCTATTACTGCCTCATCCTTAAGGCCTCTTCTCATCCCCCTTTCATGGTCTGTATCTAGCTTTCTTACTTCTAATTAGACACTGTAATGCACAAATCTAAAAATTCAAAGCTAGAATCTACAGAGGGATAACATGCATTTGTCTTCCTGGGCATGGATTAATTCACTCAGTATAATGTTTTCCAGTTCCACAATTCTTCATAGTTCATAATTTCCTTTTTCTTTATAGCTGAATAAAATTTCATTACATACAAGTATCACATTTTCATTATCCATCAGTTGATGCATAGCTAGCCTGATTACATTTCCTAGCCTATTATGAATGTAGATGTGCAAGTATCTCTGTAGGAGGATATGGAGCCCTTTGGGTACATGGTTGGCAGTAGTATAGCTCAATCATATGGTAGTTTTAGTTTTTTGAGAAACTTCCACTTGATTTCCATAATGGTTGTACCAATTTACACTCCCATGAATAGTGGATAAGTGTTCAACCTGGTCCACATCCTCTCCAGCATTTGTTATCATTTGTTTTCTTGATTATAGCCATTCTGATTGGGATGAGATTGAATCTTAAAGTAGTTTTAATTGCATTTTCCTGATGGATACATGTGCTGAACACTTTAAAAAATTTTTTCTTCTTTTGAGTACACTTTGTTCAGTTTAGCAGCCAATTTTTGACCAGGTTGCATGTTTTCTGGATTTTTGGGTTTCTTTGTATATTCCAGATACTAATCCTCTGTCGGTATATAGCTGGCAAAGATTTTTCTCCCATTCTGTAGGCTGCCTCTTCACTTGATTGTCCTTTGCTATGCAAAATCTTTAATTTCATGAAATCCCAGTAACCACTGGCTTTATTTACTGAGTGATCAGAGTCTTATTCAGAAAATCCTTACCTATACCTATATCTTGAAGTATAGTTCCTAATTCTCTTCTAGCAGAGTGAGAGCTTCAGGTCTTATATTGAAGCTCTTGATTCATTTGGAGTTGGTTTCTGTACAAAGTGAGAGATAAGGATTTAGTTTCATCCTTCTATATGCAGATATGCAGTATTCTCACACCATTTTTTCAAAATGCTATCTTTTCGTCATTTTTTTGAAAAAGAATCAGTTGCTATAGTTACCTGGTCTTGTATCTTGGTCCTGTATTCTATTCCATTTATATACAGGTCTGCTTTTCTGCTAGTACCATACTGTTTATATTACTGTGGCTCTGTAGCATAACTTGAAATCAGGTACTTATAAGCTCTGTTCTTTATGTTCAGGATTACTTTGGCTCTCCAAAGATTTGTATGATACCATATGAATTTTAAGTTGTGTGTGTGTGTGTGTGTGTGTGTGTGTGTGAAGAATGACACTGGAATTTTTATTGGAAAAGTGTTGAATCAGCAGATTTCTTTTGATAAGAGAGTCATGTTTGTAATACTCATTCTTCCAATCCATGAGCATGGGAGATATTTCCACTTTCTAGTGTTTTTCTCAATTTCTTTATTCAGTGTTTTAATGTTTTCATTATAGAGGCCTTTCTCATGATTGGTTTATTCTAAGGTATTTTTTGAGGCAATTGTGAATGGGATTGTTTCTTTTGTTTCTTTTTTTCAGTTTGCCATTGGTATATAGGAGGGGTAATGTTTTTTGCATGTTAATTTTGTATCCTTCCACTTTGCTGAAAGTGTTTATCAGTTCTACAAGTTTCCTGGTGGAGTCTTTAGAGGTGCTTATGTATAAAATCATCATTTGCTAATAAGGATACTTTGTCTTCTTCCTTTTCAATTTGTGTCCCTTTCATTTGCTTTTTTTATCTTATTGCTCTGGCTACGAGTTGTAGTACTATATTGAAAAACAGTGGACAACCTGTCTTGTTCATGATTTTAGTGGAAATGGTTTGAATTTTTCTAGTAAATGTAATTTTGGCTGTAGGTTTGTCATATATAGCCTTCATTTTGCTTTGTTATGTTCTTTCTATTCTGAGTTTCTTCAGGACTTTTAACATGAAGAGATATTAGATGTTCATCAACACTTTTTCTGCATCTATTGAAATGACCTTGTGATTTCTGTCCTCAAGTCCATTTATTTAATTTATAATGTTTATTGGTTTATGCGTATTGAACTGGTCCTGTACCTCTGGAGTAAAGCCAACTTTTTCATAGTGAATAATTGTTTAGTATCACTCTAGTCAATATTTATTAATGATCAAATTTCATACAAGATGTAAAAGCAGATAACTATATAATACATCTGGCAATAAAGCTCTGGAAATTGGATAATACCTAAGAAGTTATCACACTCAGTGAAAACATCAGTAAATTAGGATGAGTAAGATTGCATGAGGCAAGGATAGAGAAGTTAAAAGTAACTGAATAAACTTTTCGTTAGTTTACAAAGTTAATATTATTCTACTAACCTACACGTCAGAATTTCTGATGATATGACAAAATTCAAACTCATAAGATAATTTTATTCAAATTTTAAAATATTTTATTCATTATTTTGATTTTATGTGTATGAGTCTATTGCCTGCATGTAGGTAAGTGTACCTGTGTCATTCAATGCCTGTGGAGGACAAAAGAGGCCATCGGATCCCCTGGAACTGGAGTTACAGACAGTTGTTGGCTGCCATGTGGGTGCTGAGATTCGAACCTGGCTCTTCTACAAAAACAACCAGTGTTCTTAACCACTGAGCCATCTCTCCAGCCCCATTATTCAAATAATTTACAAGCATATTTGACACCAGAATCCTTATCATCATTAAAACTACATTTGTTTGGGGAGGGGGCTGGAGAGATAGCTCAGTGGTTAAGAGCACTGGGTGCTCTTGCAGAGGTCCT